TTTGTGCAAAGGATGTTCACTTGTTAATATATACTGCCAGACAGACAGATAGATACTGATGTAATATATACTGATACTCAATTTTTTCCTACATCATATATTTGTACTAGTAAAATTTCATAGAGGTGTGTTAATGAAACACACCTCCATATGCATTAAATAGTGGGATGTGACATTATTTTAAGTGATTGTATATTATAAAAAGCTCTGCAGCAGGTTTAACATTGCTAAAGAGACGTGATAGTATAATTCCTTGAAAGATGATAAATTATGAACTTTCCATTACTCTTTAATGCATACTGTAAGAATTAAAAGGTAATTGCTGCTGGCTGTATCAAACTGGCCCATAGGCCTATGGCCTCTTTTTTAAAAAAAACCTTGTGGTCAGCTTTCGTCTCATTTAAATTCAATTTTTAAAAGCTTTAAAAATAGATAAGAATTTAAGGGCTGTGTCATTAAAATATGTGAGACATTAGTACCTGGACAAACTACACAACAAGAAGCACTATAGTGTGAAGTTCTCAACTAATTAAAATTCAAATGTGATTGTTCTAACACATGTTGAAATATTTTGTAAATTTGCTACCTGCTGCACTAAGATTATAGGCCAGTTCTTGCTCCACAGCAGGGTCATATTCCTTTTCATAGGCAAAAATGCTGTTGTTCCGCGTAGTTATTTAATTAATGGAGATCTGGTGAGTCAACTTCTCTGTACGTTCTATTGATTCAAATGGGCCTACTCTAACTATGTCTTATTAAGCCTACTTTAGTGCAATATATTATACAAAACAGGATTTTGACCCTTGTGAATTAAGATTCCTAGTCCCAAATAAAAACCAATGGAGAACAGAAGTATGTATGTTGATTTTTCACCTGGAAGATGCTGGTTCATACTACTGTTCCGGTAGGAAGACCATTGGCAAACCACTGCTTCTTGTTTTAAACAGTTCACAGATATACTATGAGGTATAAAAATAGTAGAAAAATAACATATAAAGGAAGGAAGGAGGAACAGTCACTGACTGAACTGCAGTTTTACTTATTTTTTTCATCCATTTGTTCATTTTTATTATTTGTATCCTGCCTTTCTCCCCAAGTGAACCCAAATCATTTTGATGAGTTCTGATTAATAGATAAAATATGTCCAACAATCAGATTTTCTTCAACACATTACTACTATGTGGTGAATTTAGAGATTTCTTTTTAGTATTCACTCTGTATTTGCCGTTTTTGTCATTTCCAAGACAGTCTTTCAACCTTACTTGAACATTTTTATTGTATGTGAATAATAGACTATGCATTGAGGTTCAATAGGTGCTGTGCTGTTAAATGTGCATCTTGCAAGGTTTAAAAATGAGGGATTTATTTTGTCATTCATAAAGTTGTAATGCAGTCTAGAGAAACTATTTGTTAAAAGATAGCATCTACTTAACCTGCTTATTTATTTCTTGTTGGAGAAGGTTAGATCCACAATAAATACACAAGGAAATAAGTAGATAGGAGAATTTATCTTAGAAATAAGATCCCTGTCATGCTTCTGAAATGTGAAATGCATGAAGACCTGTCAGAGAGATATACGGACATGATATTTTTTTTATGGTGCATTTGGAAGTATTTAGCCATATTTGTCATTTGCTAGTGTCACCAAGCAATATTCAAGTGATATAGTAATCTGAAAGTCTCTTTTCAGTGTAGTGTATGTGTGTTTGGGCACACATATACACACATGCATAGCATTCTTAAATTTTTTTAAATCTTCAAACCATTGTGGTCTTTTGGAAATGCCTTCACTGGGAAATTTAATGTAATCATAATGTATAGAAACTATACTGAAAAGAAGTCTTTAGTGAGATTTCATTATGCAAGCAATGTATATTATTTGTTAATATTTATTAAGGAAATTGGAGAACAGTGTGTAACAGTTGTACGTATAATGCACAGATCAAAAATAGCTTCGTTTTCTGACTACATGAACATGAAGCAATGATATGACAGTCTCATATGCTTTATTAGCTTTAAGTCCACAAAATTGTAATCAACTTTGTAGCAATTATGATGCCTTCATTTGGCTGATATCAAGCTTTTTTAAAGTCTTGATAGCCCTGCATATGCTTTAGAAATATTAAAACCTGAATTCAGGTACCTGTTCATCCCTGGATGATATTTTCTTAAGTGACTCTTCAAGGAATGATTGTGACGTAATTGCTCTGTCTTCTTAAGTTTCACATGCGCCTGTGGCAGTCCGGGTTTTCATCAGAAGCGCACCCTGGAAACTGAAAAAGATAAAGGTAAAGGTTCCCCTTGACATTTTTAGTCCAGTCGTGTCCGACTCTAGGGGGCGGTGCTCATCCCATTTTCAAGCCGTAGAGCCAGCGCTTGTCCGAAGACAGTTTCCGTTGCCACGTGGCCAGCGTGACTAGGGAACTCCGTTTTACCTTCCCACTGAGGTGGTACCTATTTATCTACTTGCATTTGCATGCTTTTGAACTGCTAGGTTGGCGGGAGCTGGGACAAAGCGACGGGAGCTCACTCCGTCACGTGGGCTCGATCTTACGACTGCTGGTCTTCTGACCCTGCAGCACAGGCTTCTGCGGTTTAGCCCACAGCGCTACCACGTCCCTCCTGGAAACTGAAACCCACCCCATAAAACTAGAAAAGACTCAGCATGTACCTGTTCTCTTATTGGTTGTACTTATTTGGGTTTTTATTTGGAACAAAAGCAAAAGTGGAGCCACAGCTAAGTAGCCATGCTCTGGGTTATGATATATAGATATCACAAGATCCGGCTCAGAGATGAGGGGGGCAGGCACTTGTTTGTAGGAGTTTTAATGTGCTGGTTATGGTCTGCTGAGGGTAACATGGTACTGGGGAAAGCGGAAAAATTGCTAACAAACTGTACCAAACATAGTTTTGATCTGGTTCTCTCTCAGCCTTCATGAGGTTACTATGTTGCCTTTCTAGACCCAGTGATCTAACTTAGCATTTTACACTCAATAATAAGAGAGTCACATCACTCTGTAGCCTCATGAATAGTTTCTGGTGTTGGTGATAGCCATCTCCTATTGTTTAATGCGAACATCTATTATCCAAAGATATTCTATACTAATAGAGAAGTTTCAGTTGCATATTTTTATTTGTTTGTTTTTGTTTTAATATATCAACGTTTTAGAATAACTTCAGAGTACCATAAATGTAATATTGGAATGTTAAACAGTAAAACCACTTGCACATTAAAAATATATTTTGGTTAAAAGAAGCTTTCATATGTGAAATTTTGAGCAAACAATATCTTAAGAAGGTGAAAACAGATAAAATTATATCCCGAGAACTGTAAACAGAAAGAAGCTCAGTGCGGGGAAGCATTCTGAACAGTGCAAAATCAAACTAAGGGGACTTAAGAGAGAAAAGAGAATTGCCACCTGTTGAGTCTGGGCACTGCTTTTGAGGGGAACACCATTTGTGCAAAATGTCCCTGCCTGGTTCAGGAGGGTCCTCCAGTTCTCTGAAAGAACCGTGGGCTTTTGGAAGAAGTGTTTAAATAGGCCCCTTCTGTGAGTTTTCTTCTCATCAGGGTTCTCAGAATTCAAGTCTTATTTCACGTTCTCTTTTGTTTACTCTCCCTTTTCTTCAAACAGAATTTGGCTTAGTTGCAGGTTGACTTATGTCAACCACATTGTGAAACAGAATCCATATAAGGCTTTGTTTGTTGGCGGGGACTGCTCTCAGAATGTAAACAGCAATATCTCGATTTCTCTGCTCATCAGCAAATGAAATTTATATCCATGTGAAATGGATATAAAGTCTGTTCTATTAGCTCTTCAGTTGGGAGTGAGAAGACTATCGCATATTTGTAGAGTCTGTATGAGGCTGCCCCTAAAGGCATATTCCAATGGTTTAACCAGTGCAAAAAAGGATCGGGGCACAAATAGTACATCACACTAGCCTTATATGAGCTGTATTGTCTTTTAACTTTGCACTGCAGGCAATTCAAGTTGCTTGTCTTAAATTATAAAATTAAGAATACCTCTGGATTAGTCTGCATTCAAGAGTAGTTCACATGCCATATGCCTGTCTCCCTGTTGATTCAGACTGGATGTGGAGATCCTCATCATGAAGTGAAAACCATATCAAAAAAGGAGCATACCTCCTTGGTTGTACCTGCAGTATGCTAGATCCAGCATCCCTGCTCAGGAGTATTCAGGAGCATTGACAATATTTAGAGGAAGAGCAATGCATTTGCTTTTGTAACATGGTGGATTTATTCAATGACCAGCAGCAAATCCCCGTCAACATTCTTGTCCTTTAGTGAACTGGGATCATTTAGGCTGTTTAAGTTATTGGTTTTGCTTTGAGTATGGATTTATTTTAATTATTATTATGGAAACATTTTAAAAAAATAAACCACCTCAAATTCAGTCTTTGATGGTGCAGAAATGTTTTCAATAAATGATTAAATAGTTTGAAGGACTCTTTTGGACTTTTTGTGGCCTCTTTTAATGGCTGTTTTTAGTAGTTTTGAGTCTTTTTTTGTTTACTACAGTAACAGTGTTATTACAAGTAGTATTTCACCTCCATACTGCAGTAGCAGCAGCATGGCACAGAGCGGTGTGATTGTCTGAGTAGTTTAGTATGGATAGCTTTTCATTTAGCCTTTGCTCTGACAGCCCATGCCCTGGATAAGTGGTGTAGGCCTATACAGGTGAAATCTATTCTCACATTTGCCTCAGGGGTGACTGGACTGTAACAGAATTTTTCAAATCCGTTGGGCCCAACCGCAAAGCAGAGAATAAATGGCTGAAGTGCCAGGTCTCGACAGAAAAATCAATGCCTGGTTATACAGACATGACAGACCAGGTCTGCAATTCTCTTCATGAAACTGTGTGCATTTACCACACTTCGGGTTAAAAACATGCTTCTTTTGTCAGTTTCAGGGTATGTGTATGTGTCTGTAAACTTAACACCTGACTTTCCTTTTTTCTGTTTTTTCTTCTTATACACAGGAAATTTACATGTCCCTTGTGTGACAGAAGTTTCACAGAGAAGTGGGCAATGAACAACCATATGAAACTTCACACAGGAGAAAAGCCATACAAGTGCACATGGCCTACATGCCATTATTCCTTCCTCACAGCATCAGCCATGAAAGACCACTATAGGACTCACACAGGTTTGATTCATATTTTTATTTGCTTGACAAGGTCAGGGGAAAATGTTTGAGGGAATGTGCTGTTGTATCAAATTCTGACCATGACAAATAAAAGGGCTGTTCAAAAAGGGCCTTTAACACTTGAGCATTTAGAGCACGGTTCAGATAGACAGGTGAACAATGGGTGTATAACAGGTCTTTCCTGTATGGTGATAGAATCAAATGCTGGCATTTCTCAAGATGCAAAAAAAATGAAAGAAAGGCAAAAGCCCTTCCTGCCTCTTCCTTATACCTGTAGCTCTTTATTATACAGAGGCTTCACAATATAAAAACGATAGCATTGACAACCAACGGCAAATTGTTAGCCATCGACAATTATTCCAAGAAGTGTTTTGTGTTGATTTTCAATACAGGCTCATGATAATGAACCAAACACATGAGATGTAGTAGATTTTGCTTCGTTAAAGTGTGTGTAGTGATGATGATGGAAATTAGATGATTTTTAAAAACTACTTCTAGATTTCTTTCTGCTCCTTGACTTCTTTCTGAAAATATCTTGGAAAACTGTTTTCAAGTTATTTTCTTAATGAAGGAAACTGTAGCATACTGTAATTTCTAATGCTAACATAATACAATAAATGGTAATATGGTTGGTTACGTAAACTTTTTCAGTTACTGAATCTCTTGTAAGTAATGTGTATTTCATGTGAAGGAACTAAAGCAGGTGCAGATACCTACAGTATTTGTGTATGGATTCTCACCATTTAACTGTGTGGATTCCAAGGGCTGTAGTGTTTTCTACTGATTTTTTCATAGGACAATCACCGGTAGGCATGGATGTGTATTGCATCAAATGGAGAAACTACTGTGTGAACAAATGCTCCTTTTCGATCTATAGCAATGGCAGACATTCCTAGAAAGTGTATCCACATACTACAGATTCACACAGTTTCTTCATATGGTGTCTTTTGTTTCATAGAGGGAAGGCAGGATAAACACAAATAAGCATACAGATCAACCAAGGGCAGTTTATGGGGAAGGGAAATAGCTAACAGCTTTCATGTGGACAAGTGTTGTCTGAAGTAGCATTTATTCTTGAATGAGAAACTGCTTCCAACATGGCCATGAAACTCATTGTTTTAAAGTGACATGGCTACAGATCAAATATACATTACTTCTCAGTTACTACAAGTTTTATGTAACAGATAGTGCAAGGTACTCTGCTGCAGGGAAGAAGCAGAGTGGTTGCAACTTAAATATATTAGAACAAAGATCCCTATAAAACAATTGTGTGTTTTTAATAACCAACTGTTGGAATTAACAGCAAATGATATTTTCCATAAAAACTGAAGGATATTTAAGAATAATATTAAATGGTATTATAATTGGTGAGAACTTAGGAGGTGAAGAAAAACTGTAGTGCATATCTCAGATTATTTTTTGCTTTTTAGCAAAATAGTTTATTTAGCTATAGTTGTAAGAGACGAGAAAAATGATGTTTAGATCAAAATTCTCTGGGCATTTTGTAGAAAGATGAAACAGTGTTGTATTGAATTTAAAAAATCCTGAAAATATTTTTTTCCATGATTTTCTGAAAATGAAATGAGTTGTTGTTAGAAATTATAGGTTAGTTCTTCCCAGGCAGTTTGTAGGAAGCCTGGGCCTCCTTAGCTTCTTTGACAAGGGTGTTGACGATTTAAGGTCTCCAGCCTGCCCTGAGAGATCACTTATATCGAACAGCAGATGAAAAGCCAGTGCAGATGTAATTTATCGTCGGCGTTTCCTTCTAAAGAATAATTGTGGAGTCTTGGTTAGATCAATAATATGGATTTTTGTTGTTAGGTCTTGTAGTCTGCACCATAATGAGAGATAGGGGACAGTGGCTGTTTTCTAATAGAAAATAAAGGATTGGTTTCCGTGTCTTTCTACATTTGAATGCAAAATGGCACACTTGAAACTAATTCAAGTTGTTAAGAAAAGAACCATTTTCTATTACATTCCTGTTATCATATAAACATGGCATGTTAGATCAGCCCCCTGTACCCCTAAGTGATATATTGCCCCTTAGATCCTTTTCAAAGTTTAAAGGTTGTAACTTCTAGAGGAAGGATGAATGGGGAAACTGTTCAATGTGTCTCTAAAGAGCACTATGATGTGCACAGTTATGTGTCCTTTACACAACTGTGTGCAGGATTGCAGGTAACAATTGTTAAGCCCATCTGGATGCCTATACTCAAACCCCCAGTAAAATCCATGCAGAGGTAACTTAAAAGGCATGCAAGATGTGATAGACTGAGGAAGCATAATTATTTTCACTGTTCAGTGGTGCCTCACATTATGACATTAATTCGTTCCAGCGAAATCCCTGTAGAACAAAAATGTCATAATGCGAAAATAAAAAGCCCATTGAAACGCATTGAAACCCCTTCAGTGCATTCCAATGGGCTGGAAACTCACCGTCCAGCGAATATCCTCCATGGGGCAGCCATTTTCTGTGCCTGTGCAGCGACGAATCCGTCCCAGAAAACAGCGGGGAGCAATTTTATTTACCCGGTGGACATTTTGAAACCGCCGATCAGCTGAAACTCATCATTTTGCGAAGAATCGGTTCCCGAAGCAAGGAACCGATCATCACAAAGCGAAAAAAACCCATTCAGACCATCATTTTGCGATCGCAATTGCGATCGCAAAAAGTTCATCGTAATGCAGTTTCATCGTAATGTGGGGCAATCGTAAAGCGAGGCACTATTGTATACCTAACATAACTCCCAGTGCCAAAGCCACCATTGCAATCACGTGGAAATAAATTGTAAAGAAAAGCAGCATCTGCTAAAACATTTCTGTATCTTAATATCTTAGACATTCTCATTTCTCTTGAAATAAGAAGGCACAGCATTGTAGTATATAAAGGAACCAGTGGTCACTGTTAGAAGTACAATCTTTTTAAAGATTCATAATTATGTAGTAATGTTCTTTCTCACACACAGCTGACTGCAGCAGGGTTCTGTGTCCTTATGAGCATAACACCCATAGGTGTCCCAGAAAAATAAACTACTGCATGGCTGGGATGTTGGTAAGCCTTTAAGGCCGAGTCCCAAGTCTGTCTCCAGTTCTTTGATACCAAGTCCCAAATCTGAGTCCCTATTAAAAACAATCTTTTCCCCCATGAAAAAAGAGAGGGGTGGTTTCCAAATTGGGAGTCGAGTCCCAGTCATTAAAAACAAAACAAAACAAATCAAGTCTGAGTCACTGAGGCGACTTAAATGTGATTTAACAGTGAGTGCTGCGATTCACGTCCCCATCCCTGCAATGTGACCTGCAGCTGATGAACAGTTTCCTGATAGACACTGAACAGCATTTAAATGTCAAACATAAATCTTAGTTTGAGATATTGGATTAGTTCAAAAGATTTAAATTTCTAATTGATTAATTAATATTTAATTAATTATAATGAGACTTCTCTGTTATCAGTGCAATACTAATTAGTTGTGATACTTCAAGTTGGGCTTTTCCTGGAATGTTTCTAACTTTATGAGGAGGAAATGAATGTTTTAATTACCATCATTCTCCTGCCAATGTTTTTCTATAACAGTACTGCATTTCACTTTAAACAAATGGGAAATAATAATCTCTGCACTACTGTGATTGGACAAATGTGTTTTCTGCTACTTAACATACCTCTGATTATTGTTAGGGCTGTGTATTGAACTTATATATGTGGAGAACATCTGCCTGGATGTGCACAAGAGTCTCCAGACCAAGCATTTGTATTGGAGAAGGGAAAAATTCCTAAAGACTTTACTTATATTATTATTATTATTTATTTACTGGCCAGGTATGTAAACCATACCCGGAATTTAATATGGCTACCGGCCACACTTAAAAACACTACACACACACACACACACACACACCATAAACAGAAAATTCACAAGACAATTAGGAACAAATTCTACAAAAACCGATTGCCTCAACTCCCAGTTGCGTCAGATGGTTACAAATTCAGCAGTTTGATGGCACAGGGAAAAAAGCTATTTTTGTGCCTCGATGTTTTAGTATACAGCGTCTTGTATCGTCGACCAGAGGGGAGAAGATTAAACAAGTTGTGACCAGGATGCCGTGGATGTGCCACGATCTTTTCCGCTCTCTTTTTAACCCGTGCAATGTACAACTCTTCCAATGATGGCAAATCAGCTCTGATTATTTTTCCAGCAGTTCTGACAGTCCTCTGAAGCCTGTTCTTGTCCAGTTTGGTTGCCGAACCGAACCAAACAGTTATGGAAGAGCAGAGGACAGATTCAATAATGCCTCTGTAAAATTGGACAAGCAGCTCCCGAGGCAGATTGAATTTCCGAAGTTGTCGTAGGAAATACAGACGCTGGTGAGCTTTTTTAATGATGCCATCGATGTTAATTGACCATTTCAGGTCCCGAGAGAGTACAGTGCCCAGGAACCTGAACGACTCTACTACAGAGACCGTGCTGCCTAAGACGGAAAGTGGGAGTATACAAGGGGGGTGTTTTCGAAAGTCCACTACCATCTCCACCGTTTTCTGTGGGTTGAGCACTAAGCTATTACTGTTGCACCATGCAACAAGATGCTCAACTTCCCGTCTGTATGCCGACTCATCACCGTTCTTAATAAGTCCAATAAATATAAATCGCTTCTAGATTATTGGTGCTGCCAAATGTAGGAGCACCTCTTTTTCTAGTGTTGATTATTATGTGGTTTTTGTGGCAGAAAAATGCTACTATTTCATAGTTGCCATTTGCACGAACAAATAATATATATGCATAGGTTAATGCTTAATTGCATGAACTGTTGGCAAAAGAAAAGAGAAAGAAGAATTATAGCACTTTACGAGCAGATTTATTTCAGTGTGAGCTTTCTGAGTCATAATCCACTTCTTCAGACACAGGGAGTACAAATACATGCCTCCTATATTTATTCCTTAGTGATGAGATTCATGTCCAGTTGAAGATGCAGATAATAGACAAAGTGACTGTGGTTTGTTACAACAGGAATGGGACTTTCAGACTGTTAATTAGCAGATCCTAGCCAGGATTATAAGCTAAATAGACTTTGTTGTCAGAGGAGTACAGAGAGTTGTTTATGGAACAGAGGTCAGATTCTGTTAAGGGAGAAAACAATTTTATATCCTTAAGATATTACAGATACTGTTGCAGAGTTTTTGGTTAAATTCCTCTAGTTGTGCAGAAGTGCAGGGATTCACAGAGCAGAACAGCTTCAAATTCCCCAGATTACTTCATCCCTTTTTTCATCAACTGGCACTTACAGTCTTAATAATTTACTCCAAGACATTAGGAGGAGAAAGAATAAAAAAAATCATTTTATTTGCTTACAGTGAACAAACCAAACAGCAAACTCACAAACATGGCTGCCTGCAGCAACAGACCTAGAACAGACTTCAAAGAGTAGGAATGCAGTGCTCTCTTTGAATGCACAGGCAGGAGGGAACAATTGGTAATTGCTCACTGGATTGACGGTTACCCCAGCTCAAAAAGGTCCTACTCAGCCACACTTTCTCCAGGCAGCATACAATGTTACAAAAACTCCATCAGAAGCCTGGGTTATTAATATAAGTAATGCAGTAAGAAGCCTTGATCTCTGTTTAGCACTGAAGATAGCACTGTAATCTTTTTGTGTAAACATTTTCCGCTTTCTCTCTCTTGAGTCTCAATTTGTAATTCCTTTTTTTCTGTAATAACCACTTTGAGATCCATAGCAGATTGTCATGGGATGCTGACATGTTCTGAAACTGGTTTCTCTGTGTTGCCATGCCTTTTCTCAGATTTTCCATATTTTTTCACTCCTTATTTTCAGAGATTGTCCTGTTTGTCTTATATGAAAAGTTCAGGGGCTCTGTTGGCAGAAAAGTGTGTACATCACATTAGAAAATGAACAGTGAATGAGCCGCTGATGATGTGGCCGATATTGCCAGGGCCCGTGTTAGTATTGCCAATGTAGATGTGAGGACACAAGTGACATCTAGGTTGTGAGAAGCCCTTGTTCCTGTCCATACTGTTAGGCTATAGCCGTTCCCATTGCCATATTCTTATAATTCCACAAGCAGAATCTGTGTATACGTTAATGCTTGGCTTTTTAAAGAGGAAGTTATAAGGACCAAGGTTGTATAGTTTGCCTCTTTATGTTTTCTGTATAATTGCTCATTTATTTATTGTTAACGTTTATCCATTTTGACAATTTAGAAGTAAAGACCATCTATGACAGATGTGTCACTTTTTTCCAGTCAGTAATCCTGAAGAAGGTCTGTGATGTTGTTGCTGCCATCAAAGCATTCCAAGGTGCATTTAGATAATTTTTAGAGTGCAGCAAATTTCCTCTCCAATACCTTCCTATTTCTGCTCTACAGAGTTTACAGAGAAAAGAAGAGTCAAGGAGTAGAGCTCTTTTGGATTAGACTAATGTCAATGGGATGTTTTTGGACAGGAGGGCTGTTAGTCCACCCCCATTACTGTGGCTCCCAGTAGCTGGCAATTCAGAGACATGCTGCTACTGAACCAAGAGTTGTGATGAAGCAGCATACAGTTGTTCCTTGATTGGTAGAGGCGTAAGTCTGATAGGAAATCCTTACCAGAGTAGAGCAATGTAACCGATCAGAACTTTTGTGAGTACTTAGGTAAATCTCATTTATTCAGTGGGTCTGGTCCACTTAGGACTACCAGTTTAAGGCCAATTTTATTTTCCTTGTCCCCTCCATGTGCCCATCAGCTAATGAAGAATAAAAAGTAAAGCAATTTCACAAAAGGTAGGCATTTGTATGGATAAAGAAGCTAGTCTTCTGTGTAGTAAAGACCAGTAGGAGCAGAGAAACTGACTTCTCAGCTCCTGTGGGATTCCATGTACTGTTAATGTGGTTTCCTCTGAGTTGATAACCTAAAAGGAATTTTTCCGTTTATCTGAAACATTTTCCTGTTTCCTTCACTTCTTTTTCATTGGCATTGGGGTAAGGGAGAAGCCAAATGACTCGTTTGTATGTTAAAGCAGCATTATAATTTCACTATATTTCACTATAATTTCTCTCCAAAGTTAGTATTATTATTCTGTAATACCCTTCTTCGTTGGTCTTCGGGGATGAATCTCCCTCATGTGCCTAGGCTTAACTGACTAAAATGCTATTGCAGAATGATATAGTACATTTATAAACAGCAAAAAGCAACACTTCCTGTGGAATAAGAATACTTTGGAAGTGTATGTTTATGCCTTTCTAACAAGTAGCAAGTCTGCCATAGCTATCTTTTAATGGTTTGAGAGGCTTAGAATAAAGACATATCATTAAATAGGAACTGTACAAGTACTACTTCAGTTTCTGAAGTAATCCCCTGACTTGTTTTTCTTCATTATGAACATTTTAAGAAATATAAACAACATCAAACTGCCATTGGTACAGAATAACATAGGTTTTTATTGTTGCCTATTTTCTTTCTTGGAAAATAATTTAATATCTGTAATTTCCTGGGCGGTTCTTGAGGGGCACTGTGATTGAGTCAGTTACAATTTGCTCAGCATCTTTATTCTATTGGTAAATCCAATATATTTTTATTTAAGCAGAACCATATATATACTGTATATTAACTTTTCCAGGCAGTCTTTCTTCAGCACAGAAAGGCCAGATGTATGGGAATTGTAAAAAATCAGGATATGCATAAAAACTGTTCAAGTGCATAAAGCAGCCCCATCTGGAAGACATCTAACAGAAATGAAGTTGTACAAAACCATTCCATTGATAATAAAGCTAATTTTTATGGGTCTGACAAGTATGTAATTATGTTCAGTGGTGCTTTTCAGATTTTATCACAGTCAATAAACCGCAGTGGTAATTTCATTCCCATTTGACATATTTACATGGAAACATTTGATTGGAGGAATTAGTAACCCTGAAAGCCTTGATAGATATGTTTTAATGATCTGTGACCTCCGCAGTCCCTCATCTGTTTATTGTTGCAACAGGCGAGAAGTCATTCCTATGTGACCTTTGTGGCTTTGCTGGCGGGACACGTCATGCCCTCACCAAGCATCGGAGGCAGCATACAGGTCAGTTATGCAGTCTTTTACCCTTTGGTATTTTCTCTCCAGCAAAGGACTGTCATCCAGCCTGAGGGAAAAGGAAGTCGTACAGCACATTAGAATCCAGAGAGTAAATATGTTCTCTCTTCCTGTTTCGCCTTTACAAATCATGTACGCCTAAAGTCTATGTGAAATGCTCTTAATTATTAATTGAAATGTAGATTTTTTTTCCTTTGAGGCAAAATATTGAATTGAAGGTTTATCTTTGAAAATCTATAAGTACAAGAGGTTCCTTTTCAAGAAACTATGCAAGTAAACTGTATATCTGTTGAAGTTTTTGTAAGAACCTGCATATGATTTTTTAAGTGAAAATTAAAGAGAAGATTCCTTTCAAACACCATATTTTCCAAATTTGACATTATTTGCCAAGGAAACATGTCAATTTTGTTGTATCACATAATTTTCTGTTCCCCAGATTGGTTAGGTATCATGCTCCCCATGTATGATACAGCTAATATTATCATCCCAATCTGTACTCAAAAGTCAGGCCCATGGAGAAATATGGCACTTACTCCCAGGCAAATTTGTATGGGACTGCAGGCTAAATTCTGTCTTCCAAAGCAAGCAAGCAAGTTAACAAACAAAAAACCAAACAAACATGTATTAAACATTTTTGTATATGTGTTACCTTAATGCTGGCTCTACTCACATTATTCTTCCATTACAATTTGCTTGAAAAGGTCAGGAGCTGTCGTCCGTGGACATGAAATACAGCTGTTTGTCTTTTACGTTGTGGCCCATTCCTAACGTGGGATATTAGTTATTTGGAAGTTGAGTCATGACAACTGGACTACTTTCTTATTAAGTTGAAACATTTCGCTACTCATCCAGGTAGCTTCTTCATTCTGAGGAGAGCTCGTAGGAGAACCCTGATACAGTGGTGCCTCGCTTAACGACGATAATCCATTCCAGGAAAATCGCTGTTAAGCGAAAACATCATAAAACGAAATTAAAAACCCCATTGAAACACATTGAAACCCATTCAGTGCGTGCCAGTGGGGTAAAAACTCACCGTCCAGCGAAGATCCTCCATACGGTGGCCATTTTTGCTGCCTGTATAGCGAGGAATCCGTCCCTAAACACAGCGGGGAGCCATTTTAAGCACCTGGTGGCCATTTTGAAAACCCAGCGATCAGCTGTTTTTGATCATCGTAGATTGAAAATCGGTTCCCGAGATTGTTGTACAGTGATTTCGTCGTAATGCACGGCAGTCGTTAAGCGAGGCACCACTGTATATCCTCCATGTTGGTTTCACTTCCCCCTGATTTGAATAGGCCCGTTAGATCAGTGGTCTGCAACCTTTTTAGTCCCACGGACTGGCTGGGGAAGGCGGGGCACCCCCCTGTGCTTGTGCACATGTGCGAAGGCACTCCTTTATATATACATATGGTCAAAACCTTTTGTGATTTTATAGGCATACAGTTTCTGAAATAACAGACTGAATTTAAGGGGCACACCTCTGTATAAAAATGAATCAAAGTAATAGCATGTGTATTAAACCAGGCACCTTAAAACTCATTTGTCAGCATTAAACCTCTGTTGATTTAAAAACTAGATGTATCTAGCACATAGTATATTAGAGGATGTCTGATAACATATTTGATGTAAAATTATGAAGAACTTCCTTAGCAATATATAAATGGTTATACTGAAGATTGCAGTGTCCTTCTAGGTGCAATGTCAAAGCAATTTGCACACATACTCATTACACTGACATACTCACTACATGATCCTTGCAGTCCAGTGACTTCTTAGTGGCAATGCAAAAAGTGCTGTTTACTTTTGTTCTCCTAGTGCAAAGGTGTATAGCTCATGGCCTCCAAATATCTGCTCAAAATTATGTTCCACTCAGTATAGCCAGCAGTGAAGGATGATCCAACAACATGTGGTGGGCTGCTTGTTGTCTTTTCCCAGCCTAACATCTGATCCCCCATTTCCTGCTTTCTTCTTTTTAAATTGATGCACAAACACTCTCTGTCACACTCTCAGCTGTTTTTCTCAAGCATAAACTATTCTGGAGGATTTACATAAATCCTATGCTAGAGTCCTGTACTTCATGGTCCCAAATGCATAGAAGTCTCATGGAGCATGCAGGGCAAGCCTTGATCCCTCATCAATGCCATGCACATTGACCACCCCTCCCGGATTCCTGAATGGTGTTAGACTGATGTGGGTATTTATAGGGTTCATCCTTCCATGCTGGAAATCCTGCATATGTAGATAGTATTGCCTTCATTTCAGCTGAATTTGTGCGCATGGTATTCAGTTGTTTTCTTTAAGTCCCACATTCTGTAAATGTACAGCTTCTTGTCAGATACTTTCCCCAGTTTTTTTAAAATACTTTAAAATTTCCAAGTGTTTCTTCTTCCATGAGTTCCATGGATACATAAAAAACCATTTCAGTAGAGTTTTGCTTCCGATATGGTAGAAGCTCAGGCCTTTGTCTTTGCTAATGTATGGAATGGAGTTATCCAGTGTAGTGAACAGAGTGACAAACTAGGATTCTGGAAACGAGGGTTTGACTCTCCACTGAACCATGGAAACTCACTGGGAGAATGGAACTAATAAATCCTTAAATATTTTACATACCTTGAAAACCCTATTAAGGTCACTATAAGTCAGTTCCAACCGGATGGCACATTACTAACTATAAGATAAAATACGGTAGTAGCATTTGAAGTGTGATTAAAATATTGAAATATGAGTGGAATATTTTGAAATATTGTTCCCCTAACAATACTGTTCAATATTGTTCCCCTAAGCGCATCATTTAGACAGCTAAAACATGTAGTGTTTACATAGTCTGCAAAGTCAGTCTGGTCCACAGCTTCCTGTATACCACCTGATTTCTTTCAGGTATGTACTGAAAGAGTGGATATATTTTTTTGTTTTGATTTGATTTGGTTTTGTTCATAGCCTGCATTTCTTACAAAAGCTCCTCAACTTTTATGTTTTACCCAAAAATTTACTCTCTTAGCATGGCCTTTGAGATAATATGAAAGTTCTCTGAATGGTCTCATGCCTGGAAATCATATACCGTACCTCTAAATACATCGTCAACATACGTTGCACCTTTCCAGTTGTACACCAATCATCTCTCATACCATATTTCATTTGTAAATAGTGTGAACCAATCCTCTCTTATACTGTGTTTCAAATGCTAAGAGTGTACAGCCATTCTTCATATGGTGTTCTCTATAGTGTAGTAAATTGGTATGTAAAAAACAGACACCATGGTTAATTTACATAGCTGGGCAATACATAATCAGCATAATTTGAATAAAATTTGCATGGGCTTTTGTTATGGTGCTGTTTCTGCAATCCCCGTTGTGGAATTAGAAGTGGCAGTTCTTGGGAGCTTTTCTAGATGATCATTGGCTGAATGAAATAAATGCTTCCTCTTGGGCTTCAGCTATGGAATGTTAAAAGATGTATGTACTGGCAGAGAAAGGTCAGTTTCTTGGCAGGCTGTGAAATGTGATGAAGTTTTTCAGTTAGTTGGGGGTGACGAAAAGCCCTTGTATTATTAACCTCAGTTGCTCAAATTATGGGTAAGGCCTTTCAAACCATGAGATACAGAAATCAAGATCTGTGAAGGCACAATGAATGTAAGTGTACTATACATTTACCTTGTTTCTGAGGCTAAAATTGTACAGGCTGTTTTGGATATTATCAAACATTTTCAACAATTATGCACGTCATAGCGTTGGTTGCTCATTTGGGGTTTGTTTTTGTTTTGCTTGTTTTCTTTTGAAGAATCACATTCCTAGTTTTCCATTGTTCCAGTGCATATTGGAAACGTTTCTATTGGTTCTAATACTTGACACAGAGCAAGAGTAGACCATTGATCTAGATGGGTGGGATAGAAATCCAATAAATAAATAAAATAAATAAATAGCACTCAGGAAGATGTTGTGCTGTTTTCAATGTATTTCTGTGGGATGTTTCACCATGATGGGTGATATGAGTTTTATATAGAAAAAAATCATGTACACTAGATGTATCTACAGTTTGCATCTAACGCATGTTATACTGCACATACAACGTTTAAAGCCCTGCTGCCAATTGGGTGTATTCCATAGGTGGTATGCATAATGAACTACCCAAGTATTCCTCTGCTTCAGCATAGTCCTTCTTGGAGGAGTTTCATAGTCAATAACCTCAATAATTTTCTAAGTTGTGGTCTAGTGTAGATTCATTCTTCTTCATACTGTATAGCAGAAAAAGTACATCATTTGTCATGATAATCACGTGTATTTTTTCATTAACGTTGTTAGTAAAATTATTCTTGCATTTCAGGGAACTTTGGTTCCTTTTTTCCACTCCTACTGCTACTATTTGTTGCTGTCTTTTGGTAGTTCTTTCTGTGATCTTAGGTTTATCTTTACAATATATCCCCGAGGCACTTCAGTCTTCTTCCTTTTACAGATTACCTGAAACTGAGAGATGTTCATTTGCCCATGGCCACACAGTGAGTCCACTGGAGATGTGGAGTTTGAAATCATTTGTCTCTGACCCAAGTCCTACTCTCATCTGGTTCCTAAGAATTATGTAAAATAATTGTGTTTTGTACTGAAGTGCAAATCTTACACTGCTTTCAGTTACAACAGCACACTTTAGATAGCAAGTTACAATTAATGTTGCCATTTCTGGTTGGCATTTATCAGTTTGTGCCACCCTAGTAGAATTTCCCCTGCTCTGAATACAGGCATTTACAGGTTATAGATCATGGAGCCTGCATCGAGCTAGCCTAAGTTTATGTTTTATGTCAGGACTGGAGGCTCGTTATTACTTTGCTATTAACTTTATACTATATAGGACAGTATCTCAGAGACAGAGGGATCTATCTTGTTGGCATTTATCCGCCTCTGTGGCACAAACAATCAGAGATGATTCTTTCATGGAAAAATTACCTGTGTCTACTATTTTCTTCACAAGCAGCAGTATGGCACACCTTGTATTATGCT